GCTCTGAGCCCCTCTGCTCCGGGTCACCTGCACCAGGAAGCCCCTCTCCTCCGACCTGCAGCGCCTCCCGCGTCTCCCTGTCCCAGCGTCCTCTGCCGTTGGCCACCAGGTGTCGCTCTGAGTCCGGACTTGGGGGTAGAGAAGGGGTTGGGCCAGAGGAGGGTGCTACCGGCCCAGGGCTGCCCTCTCTTGGGAAGGGGGGTTCCTCTGTCACAGCTGCTTGGGCTCAGCCAGGCCTGACTGGATAGTGGAGCTTCAGGTGGAAGAAGTAGGTTGGGCCCCACACATCAGAGTGAGGCTGGAAAGGGAGGGGCCCCAGGAGCCCGAGCTGTGGCCATGGCTGCGGCTGGAGAGGAGGGAGCAGCTCATGGGACGAGGGAAAGGGAGCCTGCGCCCTGGAGCGTGTGGGCGGGGAGGGTGGCAGACAGGCTGCTGGGAACCTCGGACCGTCCTCTGCTGGGACAGGCCGGGGTCCTCGCTGTGAGCACCTCCGGGGAGTCTGGGAAGTTGATGGTCGCTTACGGGAATCTGCCCCGAAGCCCCTCAGGTCCTCAGTTTCTTAGGGCATTTGTGGGGCTTTGTCAGCGTGGACACAACTCAGATTGGACCATTTTCTTCGACGTCAGAAACCCGGGCCCAGAATTCTAATCTGAGTCCTAGCAGAGCCCTGGGCTGTGGGTGCGGCGGGGAGGCGGGGTGGGCTGGTGTGGAGGGAGGTGGGAGGCCTGGTTCCCTACGTGTGTGCTTCCCTGGCGGCCGCTGTCCTGTCACAGCCGCCGCCTCCAGGCCCTGCAGAGTGGCCCTCGGTTTGGACCCTTTAATGGCAGCGGGTCGGTTCAGAGCTGACCCGAGGCCTCGCCACCTGAGTGGCCAGCCTTTCTCAGCGGGAGCTGACCCGTCTGTGTCCCCCCGCAGATCTCCCGATGACGGGGTGCAGCACCATGCCTGCCATGCAGTACGCCGTGGGCGTGCCCCCCGCGCTGGTGCGGAGAGGCCTCCTGGGAAGGGACTTCCTGGTGACCAGGACACT